TGTCCCTCTACTGTACCAAGCACTGTCCTTCTTCAGGGACTCGTCCCTCCTGACAGCGTGCCCAACGTTCGTGGGATGAAGTCCTCGCCACTCTTGCTTCCAAGGAGCACTCTGGCCGTGCTTCCTCCGAGACGCCTCTGTTGGTCCTTCCGTCCGTCCGTGGGACTTGCACTATTTTTCTCCATAGTTCAACTGCTTCCGTCTCCCTTCAGTCTTCCTTAGTCGGCATCCGATTTTCATATGCATGTGAGGCGGCTGAGAAGACCATGGTTTGGGTCGGGGGTACCTCAGTCCTCAAAGCAGCATTCTTGCTCCTCAACATTCTGCAGAGGTCGTGGGAGCAGACGTCCCTAGTACAGCGTGTCCTTGGATCTCCTGACTGCCGCTGCGGGTCCAGGCGAGACAAAGCCCTGACAGCTTGAATGTTTTCTCTGTCTGTCCTGGTGCTGTGAGGACTCTGGTCTCCTTGACATTGGGTCCTCACCCGTACTGAAGGCTGCGGTCCTGGATCTTCTTCCGCAAGGACTTCAAGTCCTCCTCACTTCCAGCCAGCCAGGCTGTGCCGTCTGCATTACCTGCTAACCTCAACATCGGCAGATCACACCCACCAGCTGTCTGCTCCCGTGAAGAGTCACAGCTTTGGGAACCCACGGGGGCTCTTCGCTTCTCCCCTAGAGGTGTGTGATGAGCCAGAGGGGCTCGATGCCCACGAGGAGGGGAAAGCTGGTCAACATGAAATGAAATCAAATCTGGGGAAGTCGTTTGACACGTAACAAGCCCGGTGTGTGGACCTCCCTCACTGTCTGCTCTGACACCGTCCTCAGCCTCGTCTCTGGGCACGAACCCCTCGTCTCAGCCGCTGTGTCAGCCCATCTTGCCAAGGGTCCTCCCCTTGCTCGCTGCCCCTCTACTTGACTGAGCATGATGCCCCTCTCCAGGGTCCAATCCCTCTTGACAAGGTGTCCAAAGCCTACGAGGCCAGGTCTCACCAGCCTCGGTTTTCTAAGGAGCATTCTGGCTGCACTTCTTCCAGCACATGCTTGTTCCTTCTGGCGGTCCTCAGTCTAGTCCCCTAACTCAAGGACACCCAGTCTCCTTTGTGATTTGCTATCCCGCTTTGGTAAGAGGCCAAGATGATTGAAAATACCCTGGGTTGGGTCAGGCGCCCCTTCGTCCTCCAAGTGACCTCTCTGATTTCCAACACCTGAAGGGGTCTTGTGCAGCTGCCTTGCCCGCTGCAGTCTGTCCTCTGCCTCCCTGACGGCTGTTTCCATGGGCTTGTCATTGACATCATCGGATCGTGCTCACAGGCCTGGCTGGAACTGCACGTCTCTGTGCTCCGTGGATAAAACTGCGCCTGACCTATTGGGGAATTTGGAAACACAAGGCCCTGTTTGCCTGTTTGAGTGGCATCTCCTTTCCTGTCCTACGGGACGGAAATGGGAATGGTTCGGGCGCCGTGGGTTGAGCTCTTAGCTGCTTAAGTGGAAGGTTCCCGGTTCGGACCCACCAGCTGTACCATGGAGGATGTTCCGAAACCCTCTGGGGCAGTTCCCTCCGGTCCGCCTGAGTTGCTGTGAGCCGGGATGGACATAGTGGCAATGGATTTGGTTTGCGGCAATCCTGTCGCCTGGGGACCAGGGCTGATGAGCCTTAGACGCCAGCAGCTGCTGGCCCCCAATGAGGCCAGCAAGTGGGTGTGCGTTGGTCTCAGTATCTTTGTCTGCTGTGGGTGGGTGCTGTGGCATTGACTTGACTCATCGCGGCTCCACATGGCAGAGGGCTTTCTGACCTGTCATCCAGGTCTTTGTCCCGCAGAGCTGCTGGACGGGTCCCAACTGCCGTCCTCGCCGTTAGCGCTAGCCGAGCGTGCAGCTTGGGCTCCACCTGCTCTGTTGCTTCCGTCCTGATTTAGGTATGGTGTGGCGGTTCAGGACTTTGCGGGCAGCTGGAGAAGTGGGCTGGCCTTCCTGGCCGTGATCAAGGCCATTGACCCCAGCCTGGTTGACATGAAGCAGGCGCTGGAAAACTCCTCCCGGGAAAATCTAGAGAAGGCGTTCAGCACCGCCCAGGATTTCCTTCACATCCCCAGACTCCTGGAGCCGGAAGGTATTGACCGGCCGACGATCCTCTCTGTCTCCCTCCTTCCTTTTGTTGCAAACACAGCGCCTGGCCCGTGTACGGCTTTGGAAAATCGCATAGAGAAACGGCTCCCTCGCCCAGCACTCAGAGACGTGTCTGTTGAGAGCATTCCCCGGTGCGGCTCAGGGTCGTTGCTCACGTGGCTGGGATCCCCCACTGCGCGTCCAGGGTGGCACCTGTGCCACGTTTCCCCCAGCACGGTCGTGGTGACCTAAGGGGCTTCTGTGTGGCTGCGATAGTTCCTTAGGGGTTCTTACCGGCGGCACACATGTCTGGCCAGTGGGCTTAGCGTGGCACGTGGCCGGCTATGAGGCTGCTTCTGAAACACCTTACTGCTCAGCGTGGCAGCCGGCTTGTTACTGAAGAGACCCTGTGGGCTTCCCGGTCGGCCTCCGTGGGGACTAGCCTCACCCACAAAGCAGCAGACGTAGAGACAACCTGCCTCCGTAGGTGCTTGGCCGTCTCCCCTGCACTGCTCTCTGTGTGGCTCGGGCTGACGTGGGAGTCCTGGTGGCCCAGTCCTTGGGTGCTGGGTTGCTAACCAGAATTCAGCAGTTGAAGTCCTCCAGCTGCCCCGAGGGAGAATGAGGTGGCAGTCTGCTTCTGTGGGGAATGCAGCCTTGGGGACCCCCGAGGGCAGTTCTACTCTGACCTCTGGGGTCACCATGAGCAGGAACGGACTCTTGACCAGTGGGTTGGGTTGGGTTAGGCCTGCCACCAGGCGGTCAGCGTGCCCTCCTCACCGTGCCCCCAATGGAGCCAGCATGGACTGACATCTTGCAGCAAGGAGTAGTGGACAGTCCTGGGGACAAGGAGCTTGAATTCTCCTCAGCCCCTGGGCGGCTCACACAGCTTAGGCTCAGCCACTACCCAAGAGGTTGGCAGTTAGAACCCACCAGCCGCTGCACAGGAGAAAGACGAGGCCGCCTGCTTCGGGAAAGATGACAGTCTTGGAGGTGGACTTGTGGGGCAGTTCGCTGTCCTGTATGGGCTGCTCTGATCCCCAATGGGCCAGGCGGCAGTTGGGTCGACTGAGGGGTGGGGTGGGGAGGGGAGGGGGCTGCTAACCTTGCTCAAGGGTACTGTTTTCAAAAGCCCCCCAAACCTTGGCGCGGTGCCCGTCCTGTGCCCGGCTCACTCCGTGTCTCTCCACAGACATCATGGTCGACGTGCCGGACGAGCAGTCTGTTGTGACCTACGTGGCCCAGTTCCTGGAGCGTTTCCCCGCGTTGGAAGCCGTATGTGTTTTCTTAGTGTGCGTTCGGCGACTGCGTTTCCCGTTAGCCGGCCCCCCGCCCGCTCCCCGAGCAAGCTGGAACTGGGTGGTGTCCTTCCACGTTACAAGTGCCCGAGCTGATCTCAGGCCCCCAGAGAAAGTCCGGCCGCGGGGCAGAGGGCTCCACGGTGACACCTCTGCTCCCCTGCCAGACGTTGTCAGGGTCCTCCGACGCTCTCTCGGAACTCGGGTGGACTAGCTGGGCATTCCGATGTCGGACGGACCCTTTGAGCGGTCCCCAGGCTCTGCCGGCATGCTCATGAGTCATGGGGACCGCTCTCAACATGCACTTGGATGCTCAGGGCTCCAGCATGCACAGTGACGGATTTGCCGGGTGGGGGTGGGGACACAAGCAGACCTGTTAGGAATTGGGGTGGCTTCAGGGCCACTGGCTCACAGGACCCTGAGATGATAGTGATCCTGATGGGGACAAAGCCAGCGATAACCCCCGCCTTTAAGGGGCGGGTTCACGAGTCGTGCACTGCACACACCTACAGTGGGCCGCGTGGGCGCCGCCTCCCCGCCTTTCTTTTCAGAAATCTGGGAGCCCTGCCTGGGCGGTGGGATCCAGAAGGTGTGGCTGATGTGGACGAACGGCATTTCTTTCTTCATTTAGAAGATGCATGACTTCTTCTATCAGCCACGGGCCCAACCTGTGATAGGAGCCCCGGTGGCATAGTGGTTACAAGTTGGGCTTCGATCCACAAGGTCCGCAGTTCGAAACCACCAGCTGATCCTTGAGAGAGAGGGTTTTCTACTCCAGTAAACCCTAACAGTCACGGAAACCCACTGGAGTTTCCCATCCTGTAGGGTGTCTAGGGTCAGCACCAAATTAATGGCACTGAGCAATAGCTGGGCGAGTCAGCAGCAGACCAGGTGAGTGTAGGCGTGGGTGAATGAGGTGAGTCTCAGAATGAAAAAGAGACTCCATTTTTAAGGTTCAGATCTCATTGACCGATCCCCACCTGCACCTAAAAGCGTAGCCATGGAATTCAGCAAACGCTGACTTGAAGGAAGAGGTGATGCATCATTGAGGGAGAGAGGGCAATGGTCCGCTTGCTCATAGGCTGTTGACACACGGAGCAGCCCTGGTGGTGTAGTGGTTATGCATTAGGCTGCTCACAGCAAGGTCAGCGCTTCAAAACCACCAGCTGCTCCTTGGAAGGAAGAGGAGGCCTTCTACTCCCGTAAAACTCACAGGCAGATCTACCCTGTGCAGGCGGGTTGCTGTGAGCCGGCATCCACTCCACAGCGGTGAGTTTGGCTTTGGGGACCCTGACAACTCGCTCTCTTAGTGCAGACCCTTGGCTTTCGTTTCGGAATGGCGTTTTGCGTGGTTGTTGGGAGGACTTGTGGTAAGAATCTCTTTTGTCAGAATTCATAGCAGACTGGTCCCAAGGAGCTGCAGATTGAAGGCGCCCCTCTTCCGTGCCGCTGTTCAGCTCCATTTCCCCAACTCCTCCCTCTAGTCATTCCCTCACGTCCCTGGGTCCTGCGAATCCCTACGGCAGCCCACAGACTCCCGTGAAACTTGGAGGAAACGTCTCATGTGATGGGGAGTGCTGTCCAGTCCAAAATCCGAGGGTCGGGCAGAACCCAGCCACATGCAAGGTCCAGAAACCAAAATGTCCAAAAGCCAAGCAGGCCCTCTTCTCCCCCCAGTGCAGCCAGGAACCAGGTCGGGCTGGGCAGGTGGTGCGGTGTGAATAGAACAGCAAGGCGGCACCATGGTGTCTCCCAGGAAAACAAAGGGTGAGGCTGGGTCCCACCCAGGACTACGGTGGGTCCTCAGGGAGAGATGTCATCAGGGGCCCACACCCTCTCCCATGCTCAGGTCTCAGTCCCACCCCATGCCTGCCCGTCTGCAATTGGAGGATGCACTGTAACATGGGCCCACAGCCCAAGCCGTAACCCCTGCCGAAAACAGAAACAACAAACTCACTGCCACCGAGTTGGTGCCGACTCACGGTGACCCTGCAGGACAGGGGAGAGTGCCCCTGTGGGTTTCTGAGACTAACCCTTTATGAGAGTAGAAAGCCCCATCTTTCTCCCATGGAGCGGCTGGTGGCTCGAAGCTCAGTTCGCAGCCACCACGGTTCCTGCCATATAAAGTCCAACACCATGCACAGTGTATCATATTAGGAACCATGCTTTTTAAAAAAACCCAAAACCTCATTGCCAGCCAGTCGGTAGTGACCCTCTAGGACAGGGTAGAACAGATTTTAACTCTGAGACTTTAACTCTTTGCTGGAGTAGAAAGGCCTTCCTTTCTCCCACAGAGCTGCTTGTGGGTTCTGACTGCTGCCCTCGCGGTTAGCCGAACTGTGGGAGGTCAGGTTGGCTAGAGAAACAAGTCCAGAGACACTCATCTATGTATAAGAGAGAGCTGTCTATCAGGAAGTCATTATGTATCGAGAAAACATTACAGCCAAGGCCACCTCAAGCCCACAAGTCTGATATTAGTCCACAAGTCCCTCTTCAGACTCACCGCGGCAACAAGCAATGATGCAGAATGTGGGGAGATCACAGGCCGGTGGGTACAGTCTTGTGAATCCAGTGGCAGTGGCAGCATCGGGTCTCAGAGCGACCCAGGCAGACAGAGGAGGAGAGGTTCCAAAGACCCTCCTTATGAGCAGCCCACACGCGCAAGGAGTCACCGTCAGGCTGTGACCTGATTGACAGGCTAAACTCCACGCCTCCGTTTTTATTTATCTTCACGTTGACATGAAATTATCTAACTACCACACGGACCAGCTCGTACCTGCTGTGCCCCAGGGCCCCACCGAGCCACCCTGGCTCAAAGAGCCACATGCATGGAAGGTGGGTCCCCACGACGCGCTCACTGCGTGTCCCCCTTGTTGCCCTGTCCCTCTGCAGGAAGACGTTGTTGACGCTGACGCAGAGGCCCCGATAGAGTCGACGTTTGTCCGCATCAGGGAGACCCCGTCTGAGCAGGAGAGCCCCATCTTTCTCCTGACGGAGAACGGGGAGCAGACCTACACGGTCAGCCAGGAAGTCAGCCAGCCCCCGCCCGCCAAAGTCTTCGTGAGCGACAGGCCCGAGAGCAAGGCCTTCCAGCTTCGGCCCCCCGTGGGCGGCTCTGCCACCTCCAGCGAGCTGGTGCACCAGCTGATCGACCAGGTCCTCCAGGGCAGCCCCTGCAAGGCCAGCGACTCCAGCGAGCCCATGCCCGAGACGTCCATCCTGGCTTCCAGAAAGGACAACCGCAGGGCCAACTCTCTGCCCGTCAAGAAGACGGTCCACTTTGAGACCGATCTTTACAAGGACGCCTCTTGCAGTAGAGACCCACGCCTTTCCTTGAACTTGACCCCCAGAGGGGCTAAGGATCCCTTGAGGCAGGACAGCCAGGTGGTGGCCGGGGAGGTTGAAGAGGGAAAGAACCCCAAACCGGAAGCCCCCAAGGCCCCAGAAGCAGCCCCCAGCAGGGAGGGCGTCTCTTCGGCAGGTGATAAGCTCGGGGATCCCCAGACCTCCTGTAATGGGGCGCTGGAGCGGGCAGAGGACCCCCTGGGAGAAGAGCATTCCCCTCCCGACTTCGCAGGGAAGATCTTGCGGGCGGACCCCGTGGAGATTAGGGTCCAGCTGCTGAGCGTGGACCCGCCGGACAGCGAAGACTCCTTTGAAGGCATCCCCTTAAAAGCCTCCAAGTTCAATCACGACCTAGTGGACTTCGCGACCACCAGCCAGGCCTTCCGGGAGGTGCCGTCCAGCCCCGAGAGCCCGCCCGCATCCCAGGGCCGGCCTGAACCCCGGGGTAAAAGGAGCAAGAAAAGGGCTGGGAGAAAGAAGGGCCCGGCCCAGAACCCGGCTGCTCCCGAGCCGCAGGGCCCCGGGGAGGACGCTGGGCGGGAAGAGCAAGGCCCTCAGGGGCCCCCCAAAGAGGCGCCCGCAGACCGGAAGCGGGAGGTGTGCGAGAAGGCCAAGTGCAAGTCCGCGCGGCGGGGCAGGGAGGACGACCCGGAGGAGGAGCCGGTCCTGGAGGAGGAGGACGATGACGAGGACAGGGAGCTGCCCTGCAACCCGCCCAGCAGCAGCGTCAGCCTGGAGACCCTGGGCAGCCACAGCGAGGACACCCTGGACTTCAAGCCCTCGCCGCCCCTCTCCAAGGTCTCCGTCATCCCCCATGACCTGTTCTACTACCCGCACTACGAGGTGCCCCTGGCCGCCGTCCTGGAAGCCTACACCGAGGGTGCCGAGGAAGAGGGCAAACGGGAGGACTTGGAGCTGGAAGACCCCGATGGTGGTTTGCAGGACCTGGACTTCCGGGGGAGGGAGGAGGAGGAGGAGGAGGAGGAAGAGGCTGGGGACTCACTGGGCAGCTGCAGCTTTGTGGTAACGGGCCAGGACCTTCGAGGTGACAAGGGCCAGCTGCCCTATCACGAAGAGGGCGCTACGGGAGCCCGAGAGGCCCCCGACCAGCCCGTGGACCACCTGGACAGGAGTGCCCAGGAGAGAGACACCTGGGAGAGCAGCCATCAGGTACTTGGTTGGGAGCGGGGTTAGGGGCCCAGTACCACCCTCCAGCTGCCTGTCTGGGCACCCAGTCCTTAGAAAGGGAGGTAAACACAGAGGGTCC